TAAGTCTTGGCCTGCGTACCACTCCAAACAACGATTATCCTTTGTGGTTTAGTTCGTTGTTCGATAAATGAATTCGAAGATGAAATCATAAATGATAGCTTTTAAAGTATTTTCAAGATTTTATGGGATTTATAATTAATTACACCAAAATCACACCTAAATTGAAGGGAACTGGTTTTTCACAAATTTTTATTCCAATTCAATTAAATTTTTCTAATTGACAATATCATGAAAGGAATTTTAAAATTAGATAACACTAATGGAATTGGGAAATCAATCAATTGAATAACACTAGATTTTTTTAAAATGTCTACAAATACACAATACAATAACACATGAATATAAAAGAATGTACATATTACATAATTGAATAACACTAGAATTCATAGATTTAAATGTTTTCATACTAATTAAATTATGTAATTGAATACCCTACCTACGTAAAATTCATTGTTATTGGCACGAGATGTTACCTAATTGCTATGATTTGGCAATAAAGATATATAAAATCATACCATACATGCAAATTTACACATATTATATATGCTAATTTTGACTAAAACTTAACTACATATCGTTGTCATTTAAACTCTTCTAACCTTAATTTTCTATAGTCAAATCTTGCATTCAATCTAATATATATTGTAAGATTTCTTTCTATCTAATGAGAATCTTATAAGTTTAAGAGTCATATAAATAAACAATTTCGGACGTGTTATTTTTCACAGCAAAATTAACAACGTCGTTGTCCAACTCCAAAGTATGTTGTTATCTTTGATCATTTTCAGAGTATCTTTTTAATATTCTCTTTAAAAAAAAAACAAATTAGTAAAACCAGTTTATAGTATATGTGCGTAGATATTTCTTTTTCTTTAACTTGGTTGTATTCATGCAGTGGTCAATGGATCTGGATACGATTACGCAGACCCGGTCCTGAGGGCAAGCGGGCCAAGCCCATGCTTGTGACCCTTGTTTTTATATAAAAAAATTTGGCCCTCAATTTCAGAAAATCTTTTTTAGTCTAGTGACTAGTGGTATAGCAGCTATTGGTTACAGTCAATAGTCACAGGTTCGAGTCTTATACTTTTTTTTTTTTAATAGACTAAGAGTTTCAAGATTTAAATTATGGAAACATATAGATTAGGAACTCGCCCAAGCCGCTTCTCCCAGGCACAAGAATCGAGGCACTCACACCAAATCATATCTCCGACGCCGGTGAAGCCGTGGCTCCAAGAACATAAACAACTTCGTGGCTCGGACCGTTGCCCCTATTACCGCTTTTCTCTGTCTTTGTTCGCATGCTATGGTTGTTTATGTCTTGGTTTTTGTTCTTGTCTCTACCTCCGGTCACCGTAAGAGAAAGAAAGGCACGAATTGGGTGGTTGGAGGCTCGAAGTTGCCTCTCCAGCGAGTTAGGCTTTTAACAACCATTGTTGTCCTTCTTCTCTTCTTTGGTTCGGATTTCCTCTCGGTGATAAACCGTAGATCTTGTCACCTTCGCTCCGCCAATCTCCATCTATTGCAGATTGCAACCACCGTTCCATCTCTACATCTTGCCGTTGATGTCATTCTCAGCTTCCGTACCGGTATTATCGTTTTCTCCAACCTGCACTTCTCGGGATTTACACCGGAAAAAATGGAGAATACGAATGCTAGTACTTGCTCTGCCGTCGGTCTTCGATTCAACACCACCGCAACCCAGGTTCGGTGGAACCATCGCAAGCTCTGACAAGGTTCAGACCACTCTCCGCCGCGAGTAATACTGGTCGAATGCTCACGCCGCTGCTGCAACCTGTCGTCACGGAGGAACCGCCTCTCACTGTCGCTTCTTCCATGCCACGAAAACCCTAATGTTTGGGCTAGGCCCATTTCATGTCTTGCTCTTAATTGCCCATCAGGCCCATTCTCTGGAAAATCCAAGCCCATGTCACGTGATGATGATTTATGTGCTGAAAAAGAAAGGCTGGATTTATCAAGGATAATTTATGACTCCAATATCTTCTTTAAATCTAAGAAGATCAAAGTTTTCAAGATTCTCAAATCTTGTATCTCTTGAGTCCGATATCTTCTCTTCCGAGAGAAAATCAAAGTTTTCTGGATTCTCAAATCCTGTAATTTCCTCCTTTTGGGAGAGAACTCGTTCGCCCTTTCTTACTTCATTTAGAGTAAGATATTTCTCGGAATCAAGCCCGAGCAAGTCTCTAACCGCCTTGTATTCTTATGTAATGGTCCGTATGGGGCCGGAAGATGCAACAGGTTTCGCCTTGACGAAACTTGGAGGTATGGGTAGTCTTTCAACGTCACCGTTCAATGTGACCAAATTTCTGCTTTCCGGCTTAGCCGTGAATTCTATACCGATGCATCGAGATGTTTCTTTGATTCGATGTCGTATAACTATGATGTTTCTTTTGCTTTGATGTTTATTGTTGTAATGTACTGTGATATGAACCGATGTAACCCCGAACTTTAAGTGAATGAAAACAAAGTGTTGCACACAAAAAAAATTATGGAAACATATAATACACGCAAATAAAAAAAAATTGCTAATTAAAAACCTAATCACCGTCGTCGACCAAAAGAAAAATTCATCATCGGCTTCTTCTTCTTCGACTCTCAAACAACCTTATCTCTATCGCCTGCGTTGGCCTCCTCTCCAATCGTTGAATCTCTATCTAAAAGTCGTGGCGGTGAGTTTGATAAGTACTGATTTTCGTTTGATTTAGAAACGCATAGTTAATATTTTGTTTGAAATCAATTTGACTAGTTCTGTTGAGTTATGTGACATGCAGGCCTGGTGACACTGACATGTCATGGTGCTGTATTGATTTCATGGTTTCAAATTTYTAGAGTTTTTGTAAATTATCGACAAAATTAAGTGTTTATAGTGAGACTTTGATGTTGTGGTTTAGTACTGATGGCTAGATTAGYAAGAATTTTCGTCTTCTTCTTAAACTAGAATAGTGAGATTTAATTA